TAACAAATTACATATCCACTCAATTAATACACTCCCACTCGTTAAACATTGACGTAGCCAATGTGTCTCTCCATTCAGACCATTGATTAGAGGTCTCGACACAGTCAATAAATGACAAGTCATCAACACGTCTTCGTTTTGTTCATCTTCTCCGATCATCATCTCTATTGGCATCCACCAGAAGCTCACGTTGAATGAAGTTATGCAGTAGCACACAAGCCATAATTAGTCTATTTTGAGTTCTTATATCATAAAACGTTGGACTACGTAAGATCGCCCATCTTTTTTTTTCAAAATACCAAATGATCTCTTGACCACGTTTCTAGCTTTCGAATGGGACATGTTGAAAAATTCGTAAGGGCTCTGAGGTGTAAGCCTTCCTTCCTCCCAATCTTTCAAATGATATCGCACTCCCTTATATGGACACAAAAAACCGTCACCATTTGTGTAGCCATTATCACATAGGTAATAGTTACCAACAAAAGACGGGCTTTAATCTGTTGTTTACTTTTTAATCTATAGAAACCTATGAAATGTTTAATAATCAATTTAAATGGACAACCTCTTTCCTTCATTATCTCTAGGGATATTCAAGCCATTAGGTCTATTTATTGCATCTTCAAGAATGCGACAATCGGCTGCAGAACCTTCCCATCCACACAATACATAGACAAAATTTAGATTACGGTCAACAACTTCTAGCACGTTCACAGCAACTTCTCTATTTCTGGTGCAGTACCTTGGTTTATCAACTTTTGGTACTGTCACTCTTATGTGAATTCCGTCTAGGGCGCCTCGACAACCCTATTTTCAAATTGGGATTCAGTTTTCTTATTGTTAACAACCATTAAAATATCTTTTACCACAATTTGATATGTAATAAGATTTAACATGGGAAAATACCTTGAACCATTTCCATCTATTGTTATTGTTGTGTGAATCATCAATTGGCTCAGGTTTCACTAGAAGGGTAGAATAAAGACGCAAAATCGCCGAAAGGACCTCATGTACGTAAATTCCTACAGTTTGACTAGACCTCTTAAAGTCAAATTTAACAACCTTCATCTTTTTATGATGAACGATTATAGAAATAAAAAGAGCAACCTTCTCCGTAACTGTTACATATTTGGAATCAGATAGACCAGTATTTGTACGGAGAAGGTAACATAACCAAGCGAAGGCTCCCTTAGTCATCCTCAAATTTTCCATACAGTCTAACTCATTCAAGGCCACCAAAGTGTTCAAATGTTCTACTTGTCTAGGAATCATATTCGCCATCACATATTTAATTCGTTTTGTATATTCTCTAGATGGTTTACACCTTTGTTCCCGCCTTGATGTTACCGCTGTATTAATGAAAAATGTACATTCAATGATTTCCTCCAAAACAAGATAAAGTTCAGCCTTTCTCTTGTTAATCTCGACCATTAAATGTTATACCTTTGATGAGCTTTATGTAATAGCTGTTGTAAAATTTGTATAACAAAAATTATGTATCATGAATCATTCTTGTCTATATAGTTCAGAACATACTTCACACAAAAATATAATTTTAAATCAAAGCCTTCTACTTTCAAATTAGATTGAAATATTAGCTCATTTCTCCGATCACATGGACCAATTGCAAATAAATATAGAATTCTGTAATATGAAATAGAAATCTACAAATAAGAAATGAAACGAAGCATTGAAACAAAAAATTGACAGAAAACATGTTATCTACTAATTTCAAACCAGCAATGCACCTTCCTCATTTTTGTATAAAAACAGAAATATGCTATTCATAGCAATAAAACAAACACCAACAATGCACATTTGTCATTGCTCAATAACATTACTAATCAAAATATGGTATTAGAAACAGTGTGATATGGGATATTATATACTGGACCGGTTTGCAGGGCTAATCAAAGAAGATCGACCCGTTTGTTGGACTACCTAAGTAAGAATAGATCGAATGGCATGGTTGAGTAAGACCAGACACCGGCCACTAGAACATTGAGCAGATAGCGACGACTAAGAAGATCAGAAGTGGTCGACAGATACAAGTCATCTGAGGATATGGTCGAGGAAGGACGATCGAGGAGGCATAGACGTACAGAACTGGTAGAGTATCGGGGCACACAAGGGAATCTCCAGCACGTAAGGAAGAGGACACGCGGCGGACTATGAGTGGTCAACAGCCGTAACCAACTCTGACATTCCCTGACAAAGGCGACGCGTTTTCTGACACCGTGGATAGTGGAGGCGCGCGGCTGTACGGACGAGCAGAAGACAATTAGCCGAACTCGCCTTGCTCGCGCGTGCAGCTCAGGTAACTCGCCCTTATAAATAGGACGAGAATCCTCATTTTCAGTACGATCTCATACACTCTTATACTTTTTCATACACTCATATTATCTCTCAAGATCTGACTTGAGCGTTGGAGGCTCTTCACCGGAAAACACCTCCGGTGTGGGAGTTTCGTGCAGGTTCCGCGTTCAACCGGCGAGGAGAGCAAGCTTAGGGCGATTTCCAGCCGGTCAGGGTGCGAAACTTGTATTACAGTGAAACAAACACCAACAATACAACTTTTCATTGTTTTCTAATAATGAGAAATGACATATGCTATTGGAAATAATAAAAGAAACAACACAGTTAATATTTATTAATGTCCTCTAACAATCAGATAGCAGATTTGCTATTGCAATCAATGAAGAAAAAAACAATAATGCACATTTTCCATTCTTCTATAACAACGACAAAGGTAAATATGCTATTTGACACAATGAAACAAACTTAACAAGCAATTGATTTCACTGTTTTGGCCTGCTGAAGAAATTGAGAACAGAGCCAACAATACAAACAATGAACCGAACAAAGCCAATGCAGGTGCATAAGGTCAGGTTGTTACCTTAAGCAAGACTGAAATCCACCCTATGAATTGTTTAAATATTTCCAATGAACCACATATTAGCGACGAACGTCCAGTCCGCAACAACACAAAACAGTAGCGAAAATACGACGACGAGAAAACAAATTACAATGCAAAAGGTTAGATCCGAGGAAAAAAATGAACTCTATTGACGATTGAATAAAGAATATCTCGTACCTTTTGAGATTCGTCTCTAGTTAGAAGCGATGCAAGAAGGACACTTAATGAACTCAAGAGATCCGATTTTAGTATTTATATAGATGGCATTTCGGCAAAAAATAAAAAAGACACTTAATATTGGGATAATGTATCACGCATTAGGGTGGGATGTGCAGTCCAACAATTTGTTTATAATGTTACCGGGCCCAAGCAATATAAAGGGCTTTCCATTAACTAACCAAACACCTTAATCATATTGAAATAATAACAAAATGCTTGATATCAAGCCCAATATGCCCAACCAAACTGACTCTAAGGGAGTGAGAAGACCTGAAGTGGATGTGGTTCGATTGGCTTGCTCAAAGTGGAGGAATTATGCTTTGTCACCTGAAATTTCTAGCCTTTAAGTGTGTCTTTTGGGGGTTAAAAGTTCTAGTCTTTGTTTCAGTTTGTTTTTTCTTAGTTTGCTATTTTGTTTGGTTCCTTTTTTGTTGTTGTTTTGTCTGTTTGTGAAGACTTTGTTGGTGTGGATATTGTCTTCTTTTGTTCTTCTTGAGTATCTGGCTAGGTTCCTTGGATCAGTATTCGGTCGCTCCTTTTGTTTGCTTAGTAGCAGCACATATAAGAACTTAGCTACGACTTCAATGCTTTTGTCGCTGTCGTAAGCAAAGTCTCTCATCCTTGTCTAGTTTTTCTTTTTTGCTCTAGGGTACTTCCCTTCAGTGTTTTTGTAGTCTATCTGTTGATAGAACTGTTGGGCCATTTAGCTCTCGAGTTGTAATTTGATTTTAAATTATAATATAGGAGAATGCTACGGTCCCGTTGCGGAATCATTCCGTCGGGAGTTTTAACCATTGAATCATCTATCCTATACTAACTACATAATGATCAAATAATTAAAACTCTGGACGGAATAGTTCTGTAACGGGACCATAGCCCCATAATATATGTCATTTTAAGAAAATAAAAATAAAAATTACACCATTATTACTAACACTGTTCGAAAAGTCGGCCTAGGCGGCGCCTAGGCGCTAGGCGGTGGTGCGCCGCCTACAATTTGCTAAAATCGGCCATAAAAATCGGCCAGGCGGGCTAGTCGGGCCTAGGCAGAGCTAGGCGGCCTCGGCACGGCGGCTACGCGGTTTCGGCGGGACTAGGCGGCTGAGGCGGGTTCTAGGCGACTTTTACAGTTTTTTTTTTTTGCATATATTTTTTTTATTTCTTATTTTGTTATTCATGTGTTTTATTGTATTATTATTATATGTGTTAATTTATTTAGTTAATGATTAGTGAAATTTAGTGTTTAGTTTATTTTTATAATTGTCTTATGTTGTGTAATGTTTAAAACATAACATGTAGATAACATGTTTGATAAAATTACAATGAGAAGAAATTATATTGTGGTTATGTACTTATTTTGACTTGGAGTTTGTTTTATAATATAATATTAATAATATTATTGGGACTTAGGTGTATAGATTTATTAATTATAAGTTATAATTTCATTAGTGAAATTGTAAAAATAATAAAAATAATATATTTATTATAATTTTTAGGCCCCGCCTAAACCCCGCCTAGGCCCCGACTAAGCGCTCTAGACGCTAGGCGCTGGTCGGGCGCCTAACTAGCGCCTAGCGACTAATGCCATCAGTGCAATCTTTCATAACGTTGACCTCACCGCGGTCGATGCTTCCCTATCATCAAACGCTAGACGCGCTCAACCGACGCCGCACACACACTCGCACACTAAGTAGGGTTTATACACGTTCCACCGTACCTGCAACTCTCTTCTCTTGGTCCCCGTTTACACGCACCGGCGCCAATCAGTGCGTGGCTTCCTAGGCGAAAATCGCAAGAAGAGCGCTGGGAAGTTTTGTCATTGTAAGTTGTAAGAAAAAGAGGTTATTGCGTTCTATCTTGTGTATCTATGGCGGAGGTGGCTGTGATTAATTCGGAACGGGCAGGGGGACCCGAACCGGACTCCGATGCGGCGTTATTCCATCGGAAGATCGAATTTCACGTGGCGAGGAGGCCTTTCAATGGCTTTAGAAATAACAGCACTGACGGGTTTAAGCTGGTTACATTGAACCCTAGCGCGGACACCCATAAAGCTTCGGGCTCGGGCAAGAAATGTGAAAAGCCCGTGGATAATTATGAAACGGGCTTGGATCCGGAGCTCAGTTTCGAGATTACTTTTAGGAGAATTGTGAGAATCCTTAAAACCTCTTTCTTTCTTTGTTCTTGGCCTTATTAGAGGTAGTTTAATATGTGTATATGTGTGTATGTTTGATTTCATATTTGCTACTTTAAACTATCTATAATCGTTCAGCAACAAGAATTTTAATTGTTTTCTCTGGCAGCCGGCTGTTTTTACATTTGCAAATTAGTGTAAAAGCTGTGGAGTTTTTCATATGAATCTGATTTCTTATTTTTTTTATGTTCATTTTACATTTGATCTTTTTATCCATTGACTCATCAAGAATTTCTTGTCGGTTTAACAAATGACATCGTATGTAATACATTTTAAAGTACATAATTATCTTTTTTAATCTATCTGGTTAGTTTATACTTGATATGTGTTTTTTTTTTCTGTTTTCAGTTTCTTTTAGATTACCTCTTTGTTGAAAGCTCTTGGCTATTTGTATTATTTGGTTGGTGGCTAATTGTAATTCATCAAACTGAAATCAATTTATTGCACAGTTAGGCGGTGAGGTGTAATTGAAGGCAAAATATGGGGGTCAGATGTGTGGAATTTACTTACAAAGAGTGATGAACCTTTCAGTGTGTTGTATTGTTTCCAGAAACCAACTACATTTGGGTTTCTGTTTTCCACGCAACATTTTATTCTTGTTGCCAGTTTAATAAGCTGAAATATCAGGCTTCCTCGAGTCTTTTTCTAATCTACTTCTTATATTCCTAACAAATCTTTGAGTTCTAGTGTGGTTTCGAACATGGACATGTTCAAGTATTTTATTTTCTTATATTCTTTTTT